GGTCTGTAGCGGTTGGGGTCCCCGCCGTTTCTGCCCCACTCGTTCGCCTCTTGGTCAGCGCGGGTGTCCTCTGCGCCTCTGCCACTCACGTCGCTTTGCCACTTTTCCCGCAAGTCGCTAGCAGGAAGAAAAAAGGCCACCGGAATCAACCAGCATCTAACTCCACGTTGATTTCCTCGCTCATGCAAAACTAGCTTTTCCTGCAGGACTTCTCGCAGTGAGATGCGAGCACATATTCAGTCCTTGGCTGAGAACCACAGTGGAATCCATAACTCTCGTGTCAGGAAACACACCAGCAAGAAAAGAGAGTTCCTTATCACCAGAAATGCAGAGGTAAGCAATCTGCCTTCTCAGGAGGACAAGAAGAAAGGCTTATGCTTATGTGGGGGGAGAGGCACCCCTCCTATAGAGACAAGCTGTTCAGACATTAACTGCTTCCCCTCCCTCCACTGTCAGCCGAGTACAAGTCAAAAAGGACCTCAGCCTAACTGGAATGCCTGGATCCCTAGTAACTCAGTTAACAAGCCAAATACGCTCCATTACCTGATGACTTTGGCTGCCCAAGCACCACCAGGTCCTCTTTGGGCAGCATCATAATTTCCACGAGCATGGAAATATTTGTCAGCACCTTTATAATTTGCCTCACGCATGTCCCGGTATGCTTTGTACATATCCCATGACCCTGAAGAAAGCAGAGAAACAGAGATGATGTTGACTTTAAAGAGTCATCCCGGAAACAGTTAAATACCATTTCAGCCAGGAGCTGAAAGGCCCGAGGAGTGGTAACACAGAGAGGCACTTCTCCACGTGGGCTTTGCATGGGGCTGTGCCCACAGAAAGGGCCCGCAGGGACTGATCAAGGCCCTCTTCCAGCAGCAGAAACCAATGCAGTCCCTCATACAGAGCTGTGGACCTCCCAGCTCTGAGGACTGCGTCCACTGGCTGCCGGTAGCCTGTGCTCGGGGAGGAGGTTCCTGAGAGACAGGCCCGTGGCAAGAGCAGCTTACCTCTCAGCGCATCCAAGGCAAATCGTCCACCTTGGCCTATGTCAGCACTTGCACACAGAATAAGGGAGAGCAACGCGAGGCAGACACAGAGCCTCATGGTTCCTGGCCCAAGCCTGATATGGAGCTGTGAGACAATCAGAGACATGAGCAGTTCTGGAGCACCTCTGAGAGACTGCTGACATAGCATCCATCACACCCACAGCTGTGCTGGGGCAGCTGCCCCAGCGCTGATGGCTAGCCCAGGAACCCACCTCTCGCCCCCACAAGGACTGATGCCCTCTGTGCGACAACGAGCTCAGCTAAGAACTCCGCAACAGAGGCAGCTGGACCTGAGAAACTTGCATTTTAGCATTCCCTGCTGCTCCTATCATGAATACAGAGAAGCGCCACATGCTAAAGCATTACTCCTGTTCCCAGCTACCAGCTAAAAACACCGCATATAGCTCACAAATTCAGAATATCACTCACGATTGCAGAAAGGCAAAGCCAAAGGAGATGGAGCTTGTCTCGTGTGCTTTCAGACTCAGAGAGGGTATTTATAAGCAATTCAAACCCCTCAAAATAGGAAATTGGAAAATTCCCATGGCTGGGAATTCCCCCCCACCAGTCCACTTCTAACACAGAAATCATTACGGTAAGCCTGTCCTTGTCCTTACTGAAAGTTCATAGCTCCTGTTACACAATTTTTTAGAAAGTATGTGGTGCTTCTTCAGCTGTCCACAGGACTATTTGCTCCTCATAACAAGCAGGCTGAGAAACTGCCTCAAAGACTGAAGTGTTCTGTGTTCTTGAAGTGTTACAGTTGGCTTAAGGGTGGCACTTTTGTTCAGCTCTTGTGCTGGACAGAGCTTGGAGGAGAGGGTGCCAGACAGTCTGCGCTGTACATCGAAGCACAAGGTTGGGTCTGTGTCTGTGCACAAGCAATGGTGTATTTGGTTTGCGTGGCAAGGTTTTGGTAGCAGGGGGGCTACAGGGGTGGATTCTGTGAGAAGCTACTAGAAGCTTCCCCCACGTCCCATAGTGCCAGTGCCAGCCGGTTCCAAGATGGACCTGCTGCTGGCCAAGGCCAAGCCGATCAGCAACAGTGGTAGCGCCTCTGTGATAACGTATTTAAGAAGGGGGGAAAAAAATGGAGGAACACAAAACTGCAGGCGGAGAGAGGAGTGAGAATGTGTGAGAGGAATGACTCTGCAG